CAAGTGCATGGTCAGTGTTCACACACCTGCTTCAAATCAAACGACCGTTTTGGACGCAGCCTCTCCGGTGGCAATGTGAGTTGTTTGAGTCCATGGCTGGTGAGCGCCATGTCACCCTCCAGTGGATGCTGTGTCGGAAGTTAGTGCTCGAGAGCAATAGGCGAGCATCTTCAAACAAATGGAGTAACCGCTCACTGTTATCATTATAGAACCTATATCATGTTGACCACCCAGATGCAGCTCATCAGTAGACAATTTTCCCACTTTGGTGTTCAGACCCCAAACTAGCACTACAGTGTCTGTACTTCTTCTGTGACGAAGGTGCTCGTTCAGTTGGCAATAAAAGTCGTCTTTTACCGAAAGATCGCTACAGTTTGTGGACGCATAGGCAGCGATGCTGAATATACATCTATAAGTCCCGCGCGACTTCGAAACTTTGAACGCATCAGCCAGCCGAACCGCACAAATCCGGCTAATGATTAGGATCTAAGCAACCAGAGCAATTTCAGCTCGCGAACTCGAAGCAAAACCAACATCCGCTTGGCCGGCACTCGAAAATGCATCGTCTCCGGATATGTGCAATGAGAAGGTACTGCTTGTATCACCTGAATCGGATCGCAGAGCGAGCACAGAGTTCGAGTCTTGCAGGCGGGTTTCCGATAGGAGGCAGGTATTGATCGAGTCACTAATGTTCGGGCAAGTGCTGTCTGTTGACCGATTGATAACAATCTGCGTACGTTGGAACATGCTAATTTGAAGGAGGATCGTAGACTCTTAATAGAAACAGATAAAATGATGTCCGTTTGGTTAGGCATGAGCTTGTCAATTGGTCAGGAGTAATGCTCCGCGTTTGCACGAACATTGAAACTCAAACGCTTATCAAAGCAAGGCGGAGGAGGGTAAAGAATTGGGGGGAGGATAAAAGTGAAGGTAGAAGGAGACGATAAAGATGAAAAAAGGTAAGAGGGGGGATATGAAAACGGGAAGGTTGGGGCAGTAGCATCAAAACTCCTATCCACCCTGCTCGATGCAGCAGATTGGGCACCGATGATTACCCTCTGCGAGCGTCAGAGCATCAAGGAACAGTTAGTAGAGGAAATCATTGTATTGCGTAGGCAAGTTACTGTCAGATTGCTCACGCCTAGACAGGAGAATGATCAGGATTCTCAACCAGTCTCTGGGTCAAAAACCTGACCCCAACTCAGCGGGCTTATCAGTGGGCTACAAAGAGTCCGTTTTAAGGAATAAGAAGCCACCCTCATTCAAACCCCCAACCTGGAAGACCAGGAGTATGAATTTGTCTGCGTCTAAGCATTGAGCAATCTGGTATGAGTGACTCAGGAGGTGCAAAAATCACCACCCAACACAGCTCAATGGATGGTTGAAGCACGCAAACCATCGTACCACGTTAAAGTCTAGCCTCAATGCGATTGCCATAAGCTGGCTCGATCAAAAGAATCAAAGGAGGTCTTCAAGTCAGGGAAAAGAATATCGCTCGGTCGTCTGTAAGGATGCCTTTGCTCTGAGACTTGACGAATAGTAAATGTGTCGTCGATGCAAGCACGAAAGAGCAGAAGCCTAGAGTTCAGTAAACCGGCTCTCACGAGGACCAGTCGCCGAATAATAATACCTGTGAGAGGTCTGGAGGCAACGGAGATAAGGAGAATGTTTTGCTGATTTTCGTACAAAGTACGCTGACCCTTTGTGAAGATGGGCACGACAGTCACCAGTCTGAAGGCACCTCTTCAGTGCCCAAATTGCGTTGAACAGAGTAGCAATAACGGTCACCTAACTCTTAGCAAAGACTGAAGGTCGTCGAGTAAGGGGTCTTGCTCCGTTTCAACACGAAAAGTTTATGCTGCATATTTTCCGAAGTGGGAAGTGTGACATCAACTCCATACGTTGACTCAGATGATTCAGCAAGCGGCAGTGTCGAAGCAGCACTGCTGAAATGCTCCTCAAATTGTTTCGCACAACGGGCTAATCGAGAAGATTGAGAATTGATCAACTGTTCATCTTTCTCAGCTATAGTCTTACCAACTGATGGTTTTCTCGGACCCGTGTTCCGGATGAGTTGGAATAGCACTCAGTTGTTTCCAATAGCATTGGCCCTTGCGATCCTCCAAGGTTCCCGGTCGACCCGAAGACTCCTTGTCAGACGGCGTTTCAGAGAGTTACGGATACGCTCTCAGTGTCCATTGAAACCTGCTTCTGCGCTTCGATCAAACTGATCGATGCTGCCGAGATCCATCCCCATATTTACGATGTCTCTAGTTGGGTGCAGCACAAGCGTCAAAGGCAATATTCATAGCGCACCAGTCAGAGTTCGGCTCAGCAACTTCATTCATCACTGAAAATCGATGGGCCGGTTCGTTATATTGTTTAACGGTAGACTGTGAGTTTAAATCAGAAGCAGGTTAGAGGATAGGCACTTCTTTGAAGCGTGAAGCGTGAGCGCCAGGCATGCGCGCAGTACAGCATGGTCATAATCCAGACATGTGTGCCACTGTAACTGATGGCAATATGGTTAGTTTTGGTCCACGTTACCGAAGAATTCGGTGGGCGCCAGGCGACGCGATGTGAATGTTTGTGCTGAAAAGCGTCGTACAAAGGAAAGAACTGTGACCATAAAAATTTATTGTTTGTATTGATAGTGTTGAACTGGATTTATTGGCATAGTGAACGAAAAATATTGATTATCGATTGTCAATTATGCAAATAAGTGCATTTATACACAAAATTTGTAAGCGTGTGTACCTATGTATACAATGTGTATAATGGGGATAGAGGTTGAGGACAGTGCACAATTGCAGAAATTGAATACCATCTTCTGTTCGGCGTGTATCGATCTATAAGCGACCCCCAAGTGTTGTTCAGAACGGTTATCCACTTGGGCATTCATGTCCCCAAAACATACGTCAGTATTTTTCGCCGTACGGAGAAGAGGTCCGAGTTCATGATAGAAGGTGTCGTTGATACTCTGCGAACTGTGGTGATTAGGGGCATAAACGGAAGTGGTGAAAGGACACCTTGTCGAACCGCACACATGAGGCTGTTCACCGGTGTCTAGTTGAGTGGATTACCTTCGGTATGTTTGCTGAGGGAAATAGCAAGAACTTAAATAGCTTGAGCAATTGACTCCATGTCGTCATAGACTCGCAAAGTGTAGTCATTGTCCGTAGATCCAAAACCAAGAAATCTCAGATTCGACACAACGCTGTTATCCTGTATGCATGTATCAGAGATACAGTGCACATCAATAGCAAGAGAATGAAGAGTGAAGGTTATTGTTGCCTGTCGCCTGTTGGCCAGTCTGACCCAGAGTGCGGATGTTCAACGAACCAATGTGAGGCGAGACGCTTGGTTTGATGGAAGTTACATGTATCGATGGCAGCAGCTGCGAGGTCAGCGGCAGTCACTTATTCGAAAGAAGAGGAGAGTTGAGAGGGGAGAGTAAAATAGGAATAAAAAGAAGGAGTATGGTCGACCGGGTCGAGAGGGCAGACGATACTCTGCGGCTGCCTATTCCGAGAAAGGGATCTTGTCTGAGGTGCCCTATGTCTAGCATTTGATTCAGCAGTCTGACTCACAAGGCAGCGGGGAGAAAGTCCAGCTCTGAAGTGTGGTTGCAGAGACCCATTGAGATCTGCCGTCGTGCGTCTCCAAGGTTGGGGACCCAAAGATGAAGAATGTCAATGGCTTACAACGCTTGAAGCAATGGTGCAAAATCGGTTGCAGTGGAAGCAGTATGCGCAAGTTTGCGGAAACTCCGGATTCCAAAAGCATTAATGCTTAAAAAAAGGAAAAAGTGTGAAGTGACGTGTGAAAAATGCAAAAAAATATTGATCTTCGTTGCTTCTGCTCCGTATTGCGCCTTACCAAGTGTTGCGCAATTCCCTACTTTTTGATCCTTAATTTCATTGCGTTGAAGAGCTCGATGTCTAGTAGTACAGACTAATGTCAACACACATTATGAGTTGTGTTACAATTAGACTAGGTCATAACGTGATGTGACAGCTTGTGTGCGTCCGAGGTCCAATGAACTATGCTGAGTGGCGATCTCTAATAGCTTGCAGGAACACTCTCACAATAGACAGGCCAACGACTAGAGATCATAAGAACTTAGTCTCAAGACATCGTCAGATGGTGCGGGAGAATCGATGGCCTTCTATTTCTAAAAACACACTAGAGGCAGAAGTTACTGATCACATGCTCAGTGCGATAGGCGGGGATTACGTCGGTCGAGGATGTTCTCCGACAGTGCTCGTTTGTTCAGGACCACCCGTCACAAACCAGACGATCCCTGGTCCATAAAGTGTAAACTTGCCAAAATTCATCTGAGGTTAACCGTTTGTGCAAGTATATACTTTGCTACAGTCGAACAGCATGCGTAACCGTACACAGTTTTGAATGTCCCAAGACCGCGTGTTGCCAGTCTCAAGAATATGCCAACCGAGCTTTGTATGCACACATTCAGTCACGCCCTGCTAGTCAGGTCATTGAGTCCTTCAGACAAATCACAACTTAACCCGCTGACTAGTGAATAAAACAGATGGACCAAAGGAAGAAGGTGTGTACTTCAGAACAGAATAGGAATGTCCGCAAGTCCCCTTCACCTATATAATCAACCGGGTCTGTGAAGCAACGCAGACCCTAAGGATGATCTGGTCGCAGTAAAGTGGAAAATACTTGGTTTTCGTTTGGCTACAATCTTCCTAGTAACTGAAGCACTCGGGGGCTAACCACTCTACTCATGCGCGATACAAATGGTTAACTGAGTACGACGAAGTTCATGTAAAATCCATAACAGAGTTGATGCGAAAAATGAAAACAAGGGGTAAGGGGAAGTTAAAATAGGAGAAAATACCCTCGACCGGGAGATGCAGTCTTGAAAAGTAGATCGTGTTACTGGCAGCCGGATAACTAACTGATAGAATCGATAGAATGACAGGACAATGACATTAACTAAGAGATGTATGCATCAAAGGGTGTCAACCAACCTCATCCAAAAGCGGTTCTGAAGGGGGTTCCAAGCGGAGCTCTTCTTTCTTGTACTCATTGTTAACATAGTAACCAACGCGAATAAATTCTTTGTCCCGATACAGCGCCTGTATGAGTACCACGGTCACACCAACCACATCCTCGGCGGGTATCTTTTTTGGATCCGGTGCATCCGCCTAGTGAGTAAGACAAATGATGGCAAAGTGAAAACAGTACAATTCGATTGCGGCATCATTCAAGCGCACGTTGTGACCGGTTACAGACTTTGTCTCATCCAGGACCTGATGGTTTAGCAACTTAGCAGATAAAGCTTGGTGGCCGTGATATATCGTTTTTTGCTTCAAAACATGTTTACCTTATGAATTCGGGGATATTCCCGAGTCTCTCTATTATAGAGCCTACGAGAACAGGTCAAAACTAGGCATGGAAAATTACCGCCCAATTAGCCACACACAGATTATTTCTGGAATAATGGGAAGAACTGCGAAAGAGAAAACGGTTAAGCACTTAGTGTTACTTAATTTGATGAACTCAGCTCCCCACATGGGTTGTTGCAAAGACTCTCATGCCAGACTTATCAGCTAGCCAATCGGACAAGCTCCACTAACAATGGGGCAAAGCATCCACCATCCCCTTTATTGATTTGCAGGTCTTTGACAGAGCCGCACAAAAGCCTTTTGGAGAAGTTAACAAATTTCGGAATCACTGATCCCCTGCCCGCATGGTTCAAATCTTACCACACTGATCGCACGCAACAGGTCCAAACAGTGCATACTAAGTCTTCATCACGAAAGGTTAACAGTGATGCATTTCAAGGTAATGTGTTAGGTCCCTCGCACTTGCTAATGTAAATCAATGATATAAATAAAAAAATAAAATTTAGGACAGTTATCGTTGCGGATGAGATAAAAATAATATACACCTTCGATATCCGGTGTTTGAGCGACACCCTAGAAAATGTTCGCATAGATCTGCTGACTTTGGAATCACCGATTGGAAAATGTTCTTCTCGGCGGACAAATGCAGTGTGCTGAAATGCAAGTGCGAACTTTCGCCAAATGCATTTTGTCTTGGTCATAAACCCATACATGTAATAAGACCATAGGTGATTTAGACATCTGGTACGCAAGTACCCTGAATTTTCATAACGGCCAGATCAAGAAGAAGTGCAAAATTCATCGTAAAATCATTCTCGATGCATGGACCTAAAGTGCATTTGTTTAAGGGCTGCATTCGCCCTGTGCCAGAGTACAACTCGATTATTTTTACAAGCGGCAGGAAACGCGACTGTGTGGGTCTAAAAAGGCGCAGCGATCATACACAAAGGCTTAGTTTAACTCGTTGTCCAAACGTAACTACTCTGACTGTTGTAAGATGCTACAAATGGAGCCACTGGGGCTAGGACACATGAGGCTAGGATTAAAATTCCGAGATGACCTAGTCCATAAGCGTGCATTCGCATATATAGCACTATTCACTTCAAACAAGAAGGTAGGCACATAATTAGGAATACCAAGAACAAACACACAGTGTTGAAAACGAAAATTAATGTTGGAAGAAAAATATACCGAAACTGAGATCCGGAACAGCCTCCACATTGAAATAGGAGCACGCGAATCTCAACCAATGTTAACAAAGTGGTTTCAAACTGCCTGATGGTGCAATACCTTCAATAGTTCAGTGTTGCAAGTAAATTGTAATGAAACAGTGTGTTGATTACAAATAAACGTAAAATGTGCTACGTAAAATTTCTTTACTCGGCCAAGCCCTCCTCTTTACTTCTTTACTTCGGAAAGCATACCTCACAGACATACCAGTAAGTGTGGATTACAGAAGAATTGCAAACTGAGATTGACCTATTCATTTTTGTCTCCAATCCTTCATATTCTGCTTACTCAGCCACGCCTAACTTACAGCCATACTAAAATGTGAGCTGAGAAGGGAACGCTGGTTAAATCAATCCATGTTCATTTAATTTTACCATTCATTCATCTCTTGCTCGTCTAGGCATCTCGTGCTGCCCTCATGTAAACATATCACACAGCAAAGTAAAGCGAATCGATTCTGCTTCCAACATCTTCATCCTTATTTCCAAAAATTTCTCTTCATTTTTCTTCTTAGTCGCTTACACCCACTTTACAGTCAAAGCAAAACGCCTGAGCCAGCTGACATATGCCAACCACGTTCATCACACACACAACAATTAAATCACCCATTCTATCTGTCTCGGCCCATATGTAGCTGCTGAACTTCAAACGAAAAATACCTCCATCTTTCACTAATACTTTTTAGAAAGCCACAATGTATAGAAAATGTGCGGCCTAAATTAGATGCTATAAGTATCAACTCAACTTTAATGTTTCTTTTGTCCCTACACAAGGAAAACTTGGTTCCGTCCGTAAACTGAGCTCTTTGTTAGGACGCCGTGAAGTATTCTGTGCCCATTCGAGATTCCGAAGTGGACAACCGTGGAGGTTAAAAACACGATTTTTATTTCTGCCTGACATTTGGAATATGCTGTAACATATGCTGAAACAATTGTAAACACTTGATCACGTCGAAAAGTGCATGTCTCGTAAACCCGAGGATATACACCATCATTATAATTATCTATGATATTGGACTAACCTCAAAGAGAAACTGATGCCGACCAACGGGGACTGGCCCCACCAGAATAGAATCCAGTGTTTGATCCAAAGATGCGTTGTAAGCGCTGCTAACGTACACCAGCTTCCACTCCAGGTCTAGAATGAAGCAGAGAAGAGGGAACCAGAGTGAAAAATACGATGGTACACCTAGATCTTTGCAAAGATTATCCAAAGGAGATTAACATCGTAATTGTAGGTGGCACACCTATGGGTGGAAAACCCATTAGAGTAACGTGGACACTGGTTTTGACCTTATCGAAGGCAGGATTGTGAGACCAAATACAGCCAACCGAGCAGTAAAGTAACTCTGCAACGCTGATCCAATTAGCTGCTGTGGCTGCTCAGCCGTAACCGAGCTATAGGCTACCAGATACTTCCACCGGTTGTGGATTGGGGTATGACTTCCTTGTGGAGGTAACTGCGAATAAGTCACATATGCTTCGCATCGAGATGAATAAGTATTCGTGGACAATGCAACGGCAATGCTGGATGGCGAGGTGGGTTTCCGTCTAGCAAGCGTTCTCTCTATAAAAGCCCTGTTACGTAGCAGATGTAGCTCGTCACTGAATAACTCATTGCTAACGGGAGCGTTGGGCCCCTGGTATGGCGTATAGCCACACAAAATGTGTATTAACTGTTTATTCGGCCATCGATTTCAAACGGGTGCGTATCCCTAATGTCGCCCTGCTGATTTGTGCGCTAGGCCTCTTGGCCAAATGCTCGACGTACCGGTCCCCTAAGACAACTTTCTACTTCGGCCTAGGCAACCAAGTAGTACCTCGCCCACTGAAAAAGCATGGAATCGAACTGAACTGCACTCCCTGCTCTACTGATGACAATGTTTTGCTACTAATGAGTACTTCCAAAGTATGTACCATCTACCTGTCTACTTCCCCTGTATCATCCATCTCTATTACCGTCTATCCATTCGATGTTGCATAGCATTGCTACTTCTGATGAAGCTGTCGCCTTGCTATCCTCGTCGGCCGGTGACCGAGTGGTATGCGCGTCTAGTTTGCAACCATAAGGTCACCGGTTCGAATCCGCATAGGGGCGGGCGTCCTCGCAGTATACTCAGCCCACACGCGACTGGTGGTGCTCGCGTGGCAGCGAAACGCCGTTACGGCGTACAGCTGGCGATTATTTATTGTTACATTTCTTGCTATCCTCTGACTCAATCGCACAGCATCTGACTGGGACTAGCCTGTCGCAAACTCTTCCATCATCGCTTCTGTAACCTAAAACACAGTTCAACTTGGCATCGTTCAATCCGCGCACCCTAAAGCAGGTTGGACAACAAACCGATCTTGCACACACCTAGAAATTATTACAATCGAAGTTTGCTTCTTGTCCGAAACACGACCACAGGATCTTAGCATAGCCCACCAATTGTCATCACTAATTCACATATACACTGGTTTCCATTTTACCCTTTCTGGAGATGCCGAGTCTACCGCATCTGGGCAAGTTGGATTAGGATCTCACTTAGTCCCAGGGCCGAAGATGTGTTTCTTGAATGGATTCCAATCAACGATTGTCTATGTGTTATGAGGATCCGTGGTTCGCGCAAGTTTAACAGGCGTTGAAGAGAGGAATGTGCTCTTTGCAAGCTCCGGTTGTGTTCACAATAACTGCAGCCCGGATGTGGTCAATTACCAATTCTATCAGAAGCTTAATGGTCTAGTGTTAGGAGGGGTTAACTTACGTGTTGATCGTCTGCTCCTAAGCGAACGTATTCTCGGAGGTCCTCATGAATATGATGACGTTCGCCCAGATAATGGAGAAGCACAGTTCAGTTTATGTGCCGACCACCAAGTTTACCACTCTCAAATGAACTTTCCCTATCCTGGGCGCAACGACGCAATGCGGCGTATCCCATAATCTTTCTATCGCTGATCGCAGATTTACCACATCGCTGTCATCGGTGGCGTGGCAGTATTCGTGACTGCAGATCCGATTGGTCAAGTTGCGTTGAATCCGACCTTGTGGTGGAATGTGCGACGGTTTGTATGCGTTTCGGTGGCTCACCTAATATCAAGTACTGGAGTAAACACTGACAAATCGGAAGACCCCACTGTGTAAGTGGAATAACAACGAAAGCTTCATGGAAGTCCTACTTTTCCCTCCCTTCAGGAAGTTGATCAGGCTGCAACTGAGAATGTTTTCTGCTGGTTTATCCAGCTGCAGTCTTGTTGGATGCGCAGCTAAAAGATGGAACTCCGCAAGGCCCTCAGAACTGCTGAATCGTCGACGGGCTGTCCGCCAATACGGTAGGAATCGGCAGTACGTCAGTACGCAGTACTGACGCTTCGCCGCCATACAACCGCCAAAATCGCGCGTGGGTTGAGGATACTGCGAGGGTCGCCTGATCCCCTACGTAGAGACTCGAACCCGCGTCCCGAATTACAAGGCAGGCTTCTAATCCTTTAAGCCATGAACCGGCAGTAGGAAACGCAACGAATTCCACCGGCCTATTTCTCAACAGCTGAAAGCAAGCTTTCACTCTGACCGTGAATCCAACAGTCAAAACAAACTGCTGAGATGGAATGAATCGAGGGAGGCAGAGTTTGAGTAAAGAATTCTTTTCGGTAATTCTCATCGGACTCAAACATTACATGATGAGGAAAAATGCTAAATGTGCCGGATTGGGCTGCGTATTGAACACAATGTTTAATTTCACGGGTACAAATCAATAAATCACGGGGTCATTGTAGGTGGCAAGTATGTACAGGGGAAATCACATCCGAAGTTGTAGGCCACGGTAGAAGTAAAGGACGTACAAACTGTTTTTGTACGCATAATTCTGGCTTGAGATGGCGGATGTATATAGCTTCCGCGATAGACAGAAGATGCATCCGGAATCCGCGCGTGAAACGTTCAGGAACAATATAGATGACTCTAAAATCATTTTCCGTTCCTGCGTGACTGCACTCTAGAAGATGAGATAAGATGGAACTGTTACTCGACCTCGCTTCGCCTTTGTAAAACCATTTTGGGATGTGTTCGCGAATCCTATGAGATAGGCGTCTCGTGGTACGACCCACGTATCGTGCCCCACAGGAGCACGAGTAAAGATAAACAAGCATTGATCGGGTCACCGGAGGCAGCCTGTCTTTCAAAGGTTTTGCGAATAAAGGCTTGTTGTAAAATACTATGCGTAGGCGAGCCGCGAAATAGGTCTTTTCAACAGTGTCTCTCAGGCGTTTGGACAGGGCATCAGCCGCACTGTCGCCTTTGAAAGGAATGTGCACAAATGGGAATTTTTGGATTGCTGAGGATCAGCATTCCCCGTGCTGAGATGGAAGTCGATGAATCGGTTAGAAACTACCGGCGTTTGTTTTATTCCATCTAAACCACTCGTTTAAATTCGCATGCTACCAGTTAGACAATGTGTGAGCAAGACAACGAGAAAATCACGAACCTACGTAAGAATCATCAATTTAATTATTCAAAACAACCCTCAATAGCATTTCCAGTAACATCATGTGATGCCACGCCACTCTGCACAAATCTTTATACAGAAGCGGAGATTTAGACAGAAACCCGGACCCAGAAACGCCACACATTTCCCGACTTCGGTAGTCTTCCGTCGTATGCAAGGATGGAGAGAGCGTGGTCGTCAATGAAATGCCTTATTGTTCAAGAAGGTATGAAGTGATGAGATTTTCACCATCTACAATCTTCACATCATAGATTTTCGGGTAATTCCCCGGGTCCGACGAATCCGGATCAACAGATCGATGACGCCTCAAGTGCGTCCGCCAGTACCTAATGCGGCCTGCGTATAACCTTCAAAAACGTGTGTAGTTTAATGAACAAACGTGACGAGATATTTCACTTCGTTGTCTAACGTCATCCGACCCTACTAGGACTGGCCGAAACCGGGTTAAATCCTAAGATCACTACCCAGGAAGTCCAGATCAGTGGCTACTCGTGCTTCCGGTGCGACAGACTATCAAACGATCGAGGCGGCGTGTTGTTATACATTCGGTCCTCCCTATGCGGGAGACTGGTACACACCTACCGTAGCGAAGATAGCTTGCGCGAACAGTTATGGTGCTCGATCCGCCTGAGACAAGGTGAACTGTTTGTGGGTGCTGCTGATCGCAGTCCGCAAAGTCGATGCTTGGATTGGTAACTGCATGCCCGTGACTACATGAGTCGGCCCCGCTTCCTGTTTATGGGTGATATTAATTTCCCTCGAATACGGTGACCTGAGGTTCAATTTCTCCCCGGGCACTGTGAAGTCGAGGCGCAGTTTGCGGAGATGGTATCTGAAACTGGGGCAGCACAACATGTCTGCGAACCAACGCGCATTACACCGCATTCCGCTCCATCGTGCCTGGACCTACTAATAACCAGTTGCGAGCAAGGTGTACATGAAATTCAGGCCCTGGAGCCTTTGCCAGCTAGTGACCACTCGATGGTTAAGCAGCCTAAAGCTGACGCTGCCCTACTCGAGTCGGCCGGAGCCGTCCTACGATTATTGGAAAACCGACTTCAATGGTATAAATCGAGCCGCCAGTGAAGTAGACTGGTCGCTGCCGCAGAATTCATCTGTTGAAGCCTGTTGGTCTATTATAAAAGAGGGTGTGCAATCGTTGTGTGCTCGTTTCGTATCCCTCAAGTATCAAAAAGCTGGACCAGTGAGGGCACATTGGTTCGACAGAGAGTATAGTCAATTGGCTCGACGGCGACGCGAATTGCGGAAATAAATTCCCCGTGTCTGGTTCTGCCGACCATTATGAGGCGTACAAAAGGCAGCGAAAACTATGCAAGAACGCGAAAGCGTCGGCAGCTCAAAGAGAAGCTCGCAACCCCAGCGAAGACGGTCCCCAAGAAGATTGTTGCTTACGTAAAGCGGTTCCTGAGGCCCGCTGTATTAGAGGGCACTGACGGACAGCCTCTGACCTCCAGCATTGAACGTGCGTCCGCATTGGGGAGCACTTCGCTTCCGCATATACAAGTGGGCATGCGCCTATGCCGAGCTCGACGTGTGCAACTCCTAATGATCTCGAGGGCCTTGATTGCGGTGCAGTCTACCCGCCAGTCTTGATGGCACAAAAGCTGCTGGACACGATGGACTTCACCCGCTA